GTTTTCGAAAATCTCAGATATTTATTTAAAACCAGGATATTTTAGTTTTGCCATCAAAACCAAATTTAAATTTTGAGATAGCATTATTACTACTATTGAAGGCAAAAACTAGACTTTTAAAGGGGTACCAAAAAAAAATTTCTTGAAATTTTATAGAGTAATATTGACAAATGATTAAGGCTGATGTCCTGAGATTTAAAAATCTCAAAGTTCATTTCTCTTCTTGCAATGGACGTTATAAAGAATTTTAGAACATTATAGCTATCCAATTATACAATGTTCAATTATAATCTCAACATTGCTACATAGCTCTTTTAATACATCTTATATTCGATTTATAATATTTATCACATTTAAAATTTTATATTTTTTAAAAAAATTATTAAATTAAAAAATTTATTTAAATTATAATAAATTAGTTGGAATAAATAACTATATTACCATTATTATTTAAACAACAATATTAATCCTTGTAGTTAGGCTAGAAACAAACAAAGCTTTTATAATGACACGGAAATCCAGAAGAAAGTTGTCAAAATGATTAAAGTGAGATGTTTTGGGTTGCTGAAAGCTAAATACCAGTCAATTCCATAGTTGCGGTGATTGGTGCTTCTTGGGGAAGTCATGTAGTAGCAGGTGCCATTTTATATTTTTTAAAAAAATTATTAAATTTATTTAAATTATAATAAATTATTGAATAAATTAACTATATTACCATTATTATTTACAACAATATAATCCTTGTAGTTAGCTAGAAACAAAAAAGCTTTTAATAATGACACGGAATCCAGAAGAAAGTTGTCAAAATGATTAAAGTTAGATGTTTTGGGTTGCTGAAAGCTAAATACCAGTCAATTCCATTTAGTTGCGGTGATTGGTGCTTCTTGGAAGTATGTAGAGCAGGTGCCAGTATTGGAAAACATGGTTGCTTCAGAGATATCAGTTCAGTTTGGATAAATCTACGTGCTGGTTGGCAATTAATAATATGCTGAAAAAAAAATAAAACAGGACATATTTCCTCTCTTGTCGTTGAGCGTTTTGTTTGCATATAAATTTTATTCCTTAGGAGGCAGCTTGAGATGGACAATGCCCAACAACGACACTACGAGAATTGCCATCTAAACACAAGAGTCGGACTCTTCTGCACCGGTAAAAGACAAAACAGTACTTGATTTTTCTTATTATTATTAATATTATCATCATAATAATAATTGGGAGATAATTATACAATTAGTATATGAAGTTTATCAATTCTTCTATTTTTGTGTTTTAATTTCATTTTTAATTCGATTACTTAGCTTTTTTTAATCAAAAAATCAAATGATATCACATATAAATATGGATTGGCTTCATTTATATTATTTTAAATTTTTATTGATTTATATTTCTTTTTTAATTTAAACATTTTATATATAACGGAAAATGAAATAAAATAAAAATAACGAGTTTTAATATTGCTTCAATAATTCAAAACTAATCAAATACGACATCTAATTAGTGATTACAGAGAATTTTATCAATTTAAACATTTAATTTAAGAAATAAGTGATTGGGGTGGCAGGTGAGGTAAGGTTGTCCTAAAAGTAAAATATTGACATACACAAACGGACAAATTAGGTGTTTCCTTCCCTCTTGAAACCACTGTGATACCCAATTCGTGCGCATTAAAATACTCCCATATCCCACCAATGCCAAAAATTTTGGAGATCAATTATTTTTTTATCCAAACGAATCTTAAATTAAATAATATCCAATATTACCTATTATAAAATTTTAAAAAAAAAATTCCATCCATAGCTGGTCAATTTGCATTAATTTGGAACTAATTATCTGGCAATTAAATTTTCAATAATTCACAAATAATTATAATTAATGTAAGTGCCTGGCTTATCTCATCTCTAATATAGATTAAAACAATCTACTCTAGATTTGTACTTGCAATGTGGATCTCCACATGGGTGCATTTGTATCTCTACATATAAATAATCATTCCTTAACAGTTAATAAATGATTAGTTTATTTGAATTAATTTAATCTAATTGAAGAACTATTTTCACATGTTGCTTGGTTGTAAACCTAAATCCAGTTTCAAGTTACCTTTGCTTTTTCTAAGGGAATGAAATTTGCCATCTTCGAAAGCTAACAATTCTTGGAATTTTCAAATTAATTATGAACAATTTTCTTTTTCAAAACAAATACGTATATTTCAATTTGTTAATTTAATATAGTTAAGAGTAATATTCACACATAATTATCATTAATTTGAAAATATACGTCTTTGGCAATACCCTATTTTTTTAAAAAAAAGAGTAAAAAGCTTGAATCCTTTTATTAAATTAAATGAATTAGCAATTTAAAAAATTAGAAATATATATGTTCCTCTCTTTTAAAAATTTTCCAAAAAAATACTATTGTTCTACGACCAAGTTTATCATTCCATAGTGATTTGGACATTTCAATGATTAGTTAGCCTTGCAGACCATAATTTGTCATTTATTGCCACTAATAAGTATGTTTGAACAAGAAGATTGAAGCACTTGATTTTATAAGAATTAAAAATAGTTTGAAGATCATGAGAATCTAGGTTGGTTGTGGCCTTATTGATCTTTCATTCAAGATTATCATTAAGTTTTCACATATGGTTTATTTTACAAGTATACATTTTATTATTTGTAGGAATACATTTAAATCTTTTTGCAAAGCTAACCTATTTACCTTTTAATCAAATTTTCGAAAATATATTGATATGTCTTTTTTTTTTTTTTGAGTTTTTTACTTGTATATGTTGTTTTTATAATAATAATAATAATAATCAAATGCACGTATAATTCCTTCATCATTTGTAGATCATGGTTATCATGTTCATTTGATTATAACTTTCTCCTGTGATGTATATCTATTATTATTTAAATGTTAAAAAACTAAGTCGAATTTCAATTTTCCTATTAATTATTGTTTTTGCATGAGGGAAAATAGCTCATATATGAGTTACATTAGAAAAATAAATATATTAATTTATTGCCAATTCTAGAATGTTTTTTAAATGTTGTTATTATTAATATTCTAATAAAAATTATGAGAGTGTGTAGATAGAATCAGAGGCAATTAAATTTGTTGCTAATAAAAATTATTAATTAATAATTTTGTTCCTAAAAAGAATTTGGATTATAATAATTTTGTCTTGAAAGTTTATCAATATCTACACACATATAAAAGAGGATTATGGAGACAAAAGAAGTGGTGAACTATTACTTTAAGTAATTATTAATGGCAAATGTACCAAAAATTCTTTTTTGGAACAAGGAAATCAATTATTTTTTAAACATATTTTTATGTCTTTTTAAAATTAATCCTGCAATTAAAAAGATTAAACACGTAACTAGAAAAATCTTATTCCATCTACAACTTTTAGTTTGACAATTATAAACTTCAATTTCAAAAATTAAACTAATTGAATTAAAATTTGAACATGTAAAAACTTGCACCTATTAAATATATATAAATTTATATATTTTTCAATTATTTAATAAGTATTTGATAAATGCAATTCGATCCGGAAGTGTTAAAACATATATTAAACTTGTCTTATAAAGTTAATGTATTTTGGTCAATTAAAAAAAAATAGAAAACATACATTTCATAAAAAAAAAAAAATAATAAAATAAATCATAATCTTGCAAGTTATCAAAGGGTTGCTGGCAAGAAGAAATGGTCACATGCATAAATAAACTCACTTGAGTGATGAAGTCATATTTAAGGTGCTTAACCATTTTAATATATCATCGTCTTGGAAATGGAATTGATAATTTTTTTTTAATTATTTTATTTTGAAAGGAAAATGGAATTGATAGTTACGAGTTAGAGTAGTCTCTTTCAATTTCTTTTTCTTTGGCTCAAAGTTGATAGCTAAAAAATTAATTGGACACACAATTATAGCCTTCTACGGCACGAATGAGTGAGGATGATTTTTCAAAATGTTAATAATTTAATCCAAATAGGCTAATCTTCACCATATATTACTTATAATATTTATTAATTTCCCCCTGAAAATAAATTATGAGATTAGATATATCATCTCATTTATATTTTTAAACAACACTTGCATCTCTTTCACCAAAGTGGTGACATCACCTGACTTAATTTATTTTGTTCGTTGAACTACCTCGCAGCAATGCACACAAGCCTACCGCCTTGACTCAAAATTGCCATTTTGGCCATTCTATCTCTACACTTCTAATCATATGGGTATGTTTGGCTAGCTCTAGGATATTCTACATATATGAATAGAATCAAATTATATTATCCATCAAACATAACGCGGTAAGGGATCTAAATCTCTCATAAGTTGCTTGAAACTAGTTAAATGTATAATGAATTTCTTATTAAACTCATTTAATAAATGGTTCGAGTTCAAATTTAAATTTGAGTTTGTGAAAAGATTTTTTCTTTTAATAAAAAAATAATTTTTTAATTATAAATTGTAAATTAACTGAACTCAAATTTAATTTGTTAAACTCAAATTAAAATTGAATTTTAAATATATAAGTTCTTCCATCTGTTGATATTGATAATATGATGAAATTTTTTTTTTTAATGAGTCGAGTTTCAGTCCCACGGAGCTTGGCTCGACTTTATTTATTGCCTTAGTGAAACATAATATAATATAAAAATTACAAAACTAAATAATTGGTAAATCAATAAAACTAAATAATCAATTACCAAAGAAAAGTCATAGCTAGCAGCATCACATCAAGAGTCGAAAATTTTCAATTGGGGCACTAGAAGATAAATGCAATTATTGAAATTCTTGGGGTTATAAGGTTGGCAGAAAGACTTGGATAGGAAATATAAAATATAAAAATGTTTGTTTTCTAATTCCTGTGGATTCGAAATCTCAACCAAAATCAAGTTGGTCTTTCTTTAAAATCAAGAATTCATGATTCCACCTCACGTCAACTAATAATGAGACAGAGAATAAAAATGGCAGCCTGCACTTCTAATTAGATGAAGACAAAATTTTCACACGTGGGATAAGAGAGGAATTGATGCATCAGCTATAAAGACCCTAAACAAACCTTCTCTTCTGTGAACCATTTGATCAAAATTCAAAACAAACAATAACCAGTTTCAGTTCTTCGCTCCTCCTTTGGAACAGGTAATTAAATTAATTAATCAAGTTTTAAACTTTATAATGACCCTTTAGTCTCTTTTTGCTAATTTCATGGAGATTAATTAGTGTTTCTGACATTAATTCTTGATTTTGATTTATTTGGCAGGCAGTACTTAAACCTTAATGGAGATTGAATCAGCTAGATGGTTTAGCGATCAGGTATATATATATATATATGTTCATATGTTTTTAATTTCTATCTTAATTAACTTTTGTGAGACTAATTTATCAATTTTAATTACAGGATTTGGATGATTACAACTTAATCCATGAATACCATATGAACTCTCTTGCTGAATTGACCACACAAAATATGGCAACTGCATTAGGAGAAAACCTCAAACAATCTTTTTCTTCTGAAAGTTACACATCCTACCATAATTTCAACACCAAGAACACCTCCACGGCCACGGCCACCATCGCCACCACCACAACTTTAAGCAGTTCCTCCATAGAAACATCTCAAACAAGTCCAGAAAAACCTAGTAAACTGCATAAGACCAACAGCCGGAGCTCTAACATGATTACGGCTAACCACCAATCGCCAAAACCTCAAATTCTTTCTTTTGAGACCTCCAATCCACCGCCGTTTTTTATGACTTTAGATCACTCTACAGTAAAGCCGAAAGATGAGGCTGCTTCTCCAAGAAATATGCATTTTCAATCTTTGATCTCAAAAGCTCCTCAAGGAATTACTAATAATAATAAAAGACCTTATTCAATGACAAGAAGTCCTTCACATGCTCAAGATCACATCCTTGCTGAGAGAAAGCGAAGAGAAAAGCTTAGCCAGCGATTCATAGCTCTTTCTGCCATTGTTCCTGGTCTAAAGAAGGTATATATAATATTGATATTGTTTTTACAGATCTGGAGACTTCTCCAATAGTAATAAACTGAAGCTTGTGCTTATTTTTGTATTTATAGATGGATAAGGCTTCAGTTCTTGGAGATGCTATAAAGTATGTGAAACAACTTCAGGAACGAGTGAAAGTGCTCGAAGAACAGACGAAGAAGAGAACGGTGGAATCAGTTGTTCTGGTGAAGAAATCTCAGGTTTCTACTGATGATGATTCTTCTTCATGTGATGAGAATTCTGATGGCGGTTCTGATTCAGCACTTCCAGAGATAGAAGCAAGAGCTTCCGATAAGGATGTACTTATTCGAATTCACTGTGACAAACAACAAGGAATTCTACCGAGAATACTAAATGAAGTTGAGAATCTTCGCTTATCTATCACCAATAGCACTGTCTTGCCTTTTGGAAATTCTACTCTTGACGTTACCATTATTGCTCAGGTAATTATTTTTAAGTTCAAAGTTTTTGTATGCTTAATTACCCATAAACACAATCTATTATTATTATTATTTTTTTTTTGTATACTTTTTGATATTATCAATGCTAGACTCTAGCCTTGATACATATTAATTAATAATCATGTTTTAATTTTGTGCAGATGGATACTGAATTCTCCATGGCAATGAAGGATCTTGTTAAAAACCTAAGATTGGCTTTCTTGAAGTTTATGTGACCAGGTTTTTGAGTGATCATTTTTTGCAATGCAGTCTGTAAATCCATAATCAAGACTTACATATTTTGCTTAAGGGAAAACTTTAAGTTCTCTTTTTTCTTGTCTGACCCTTATAAGCCTCGAATCTGATCTCCTCCACTTTGTCTAGACCAAAATACATTAATTAAGCTTCTTTTCCCATGGGATTATTAGGGTTTTTCGTCTGTATTTTTACGTGGTTGACTTGTTGACCATGTTATGCATTACTCATATATAATTCCCATGGACATATATTATGTATTTAGGGTTTTTTGAAGGGTTGATTAATGTTTTTTCCCTGTCTTACTTTGTTTGCACATGGTGTGTGCTTGCTTATTGAGGAGAACCCAGAAAATGTTGGCAAGTCATTGTTCATGGAGAGAAGACAAAGAACACTTTCTTTGAGAAATTAATTTGATCTGTTTTTTTATTAGCTTTTTGTTTCTTTTCTTTTTCCATTGTAATTATCAGTGGTTTGTTCAATATAAATCAGATTATTGTGTGTCATTATCATTATTATTTATGTGCAATGTTCAATAATATATAATCCTATTATTTATGCAAGTGATTAGTTGTCTCACTTCCTATACAAGATCTGTGAGAAATTTCAAGTTCAACTACAATTCTCTATAAAAGTAATTAGTAATTTGATAAATATTATTTAAAAGAGATAGATACAATTACTGTATAACCATAATATTATTCCGGTTTATCTATGAAACTCACAGAAAGAATTTATTTACTTCATTAATAAAATAAAAATTTACTGATAATATATATATATATATATAATTTCTCGAAGAGTATATGGCAGCTCATCTAGATTAGACATTACATATGGTTGATGCCATTCTGTTTTATATTTATTTTTTTAGTAGAGAATATATACACTACAGCTGGAGGGTTCGAGATTGAATCTACAAAATCTCTTCAGTGCACATGATTCCAGGATTTCGATTTCCCAGGTGGTATTTGTACAAGTGAAAATATTAACCTAGATAACATATAGTTAGGTTCTATCCTATTATCCAACTATAAAATTTAATTTAGATTTTCAAAATATAAACATTAACCTTAATTATATTTACTAATTTCAACTAAAACTTAAAAATTGTTTTCATTTCAAATTAAAGCAGCATAGCTCAAATTTATATATCACTATTTGTTTAAACTCAATTTATTTATTAGACGAATTTTAATCGCCTCTCAACAATGAGTCGAGCCAGTTACATTTTTAGAATTTTAGCCAAATCAAGCTAAAAATATTTTTTCATAAAATTGTAGCTACAAACACAATGATATATATTATAATTGTTGAAATTTTAAAATATTTTAAATTAAAAAATATTAAAATACTTAATACCAAATATTCATTTCTTAATAGTTTATGATAAAATGTATAAAAAGTTAAAAATTAGTATCATATGTATAATCAATTAAAATTACATAAAAAAACTAAAATAAATTACTTGGTTACAAGTATAATTAGTTGAACTTTACATAATTTAGCTCTGACTTATTTATTAAACAAGCTTGAATATCAAACTAAATGAGATTTTATCAAGATAGTTAATGTTCCTTTTAACATTGATTGCGACAATTAAGTAGATCTTCACAAGTCATGCGATACAGTAACTCATATAAAAATTATTCACTTCAAAGCCTTAATAATTTTGAAAATTCTCTTAATTAATTCTGTAAATTCTCTTAATTAATTCTGTTATCACCTAGTTATTTTAATTATTTTTATTTGGGCTGCCAATTAAAATTTTCATGGATATAATAAGAGGAAGCTTTCAAATATTCAGGAACAGTTCAACTTTTAATCTTTCTGAATATTTTTTTTTTATTCATTGGAAGGCTAAATAGATCGAAATGACTATGTGAGCTATATAATAATTAACTCTCACTTTATCTCATCAAATTGGTAAAAACTGTGTCAAGAGGATTTAAATTTGGGATCTCCATCTCCTACGTTTCATATATATGTAATTAGACCATACGCAATTGACACTTTCATAAAATATTTTAATTTGAAAATTTCACACATGTCATATGTGTTAATGTTACATATTCAGGATAATTGGGAGAAAAATGATTGGAAGATAAAGATTAAGCCTTCGCTATATAGTTAAATTATTTAATACAACTTGGCTTAATTATTTAATAGTAAAAACCTATGAAAATGTGATTCCTAGTGGATTTGCTTTGCTCTTTATTTTGTTGATGAGGGATTGAATTTTGCAGACAGATATCATAGTTAACTTCAATGTGAATACTTTGTGTTTGACTATCTGAGAAATATATATATATATATATATATATAGTTAAGATTATTTAATACAACTTGGCTTAATATTTAATAGTAAAAACCTATGGAAAAATGGTGTTCCTAGTGGATTTGCTTTGCCTTCTTATTTTGTTGATTGAGATTGGAAATTGTGCAGACAGATATCATAGGTTAACTTCAATGTGAATTACTTTGTGTTTGGACTATCTGAGAAATATAGGCTAAAGGTAAATGAATATTATATATATTACCCATTGCAGAAAATCCACCACTTGAGGAAAATCCAAAAGGAGTTAAAACAAGTGGTTATTAAAGAGTAAAGTTTTGTTAAACTTAATTAAAAGCAAACATCCCATTGTTGACTCTGATAAAGCATTTTGGTGCCTGAGAATTAAGAAAGGCCCTAAAATTAACCCCTCCAATAAATCAGGAGGAGTATTCAGAGAAGGTGTTCGTACAAGAGCACTCAGCATTAGAGGCATGACCTGTCAACTTCTCTCTCTTTAAAGTTTAATAATTAAACTCATGATTAAGACCTTTAATTAATTTTTAAGTTTTATGTTTTGTCATTTTTTACAAGGAATTATTGTGGAACTGATGCTCAATTTTTTAATTGTATCAAATACAATAGAACTCCAGTAATTAATTAATAAAAAATTTTCTATTAATATATATATTTTTTATATTTATTTCGGCTTTGCTCTTGTTTAGTTTCAGCTCTCGAGTTCATATCACTAATTTAAATCATGGCATAGAATGTAAAAAAATCATTTATATAAGTAAGTTAAGCATTAATCATTTATATAAAAATAATAATCATTTGTTTAATTTGAAGGATTTAATCATGTGGACAGAACACTGAAATTGTACTGCTATAGGAAATAGCAATTTGTAGCTGTTATTCACTTTATGGTCTTTATATAAATTCGGTTTTGATAACCTTAAAATTTTTTTTTCTTCCTACCAAAGATTTTACTAGAAATGATTTTACTTAATTTAACTTTTAATATTAATTTTTTCATTCAAATTACTAGAAAATGGACCTGAATACAAATATAATTTAGTTAACTAATAATAATATTTTTAAAAAAGAAAAGAAAAGAAAAGATTTAGTATGATATATAAACATAAGCATATCTGCAAGAATGTTTTGTGATACATTGATGATACGATTGCATCTTATAAAGAAGGAAGAGTTCTAACTGAATCGAAGAAAATAATTCCTGTAATCTAATGAACATTACAGTTTCTGATTAAGACTAATTTATGCTCTTTCCGCTTTAATTTTTCTTATTAGCAAAAAATTTATTATGTTTTCAAACTATATCCACTATTTTATTGTAAGTCCACACTGTAGGATCCACATATAAAAAGAAAAATATCTTCAATATTATCCATTTTGAAACCTATAGAAACTAGAATTAGAATCTTGATCACAATCTCATTATAGAAATTAGAATCTTGACACAATCTCATTTATATAAATATATATATATATATATATATATATATATATATATATATTAGTATAATTAAGAATTATTTAGATCAACAATCTCCCATCTCAAGTTAGTACTCAATTGAGTATTTGTATTATCTCATTCATTATTTAAAATATTTGATATAAATTTTAATGATATCTCAAAATTGAAGGATTAAGGACTCGTATATATTAGTATTAATTAAGAATTTATTTAGATCAACAATCTCCCATCTCAAGTTAGTACTCAATGAGTATTTGTATTCTCATTCATTATTTAAAATATTTGATAAATTTAATGATATCTCAAAATTGAAGGATTAAGACTCGTTAGTAATTATTATTATTATTATTATTATTATTATTATTAATGTTGAAAGCTATGATTTTTGACAATTAACCCTTCAATCATTGATCATGAATCGTAGTATTAAATCAAACCAACCCTAAACAAATTCTAGCCTTGAAGCTAAACGAGCTGCCGTTTTGTCCTTTGTTTAACCAAATGTGGACACTTAAAATCAGATACAAACACTTGATATGCAAAATCTTAAATATGACTATTTTTATAGAAATGGTTTATTATTAGGTCTAGAAGGTCAACGTGTTCTCAGATTATTGAAAGGCCTGATTTTCAACTCTGTGAAGACAAATGAACTCTTTTGAAGTTAAAAATAAATAAATAATTTAGATTTATGCTAATTATTAAATAATTAATTAATTAATTAATTAATTTGGTGGTGAGTCATCAGTTTAATTTAGGGTTGGTATCGTTTTCCTTCATTTTAAAGATTTCGACTCTGGCATCCTTTCACATTTATGGAAATTTTTATATTTATTTATTTAGTTGAGTGCGTTAATCTTAAAATAAATAAATAAATAAATAAAATATGAAATATCTTCGGGCTTTTGGTTTACATATGTGCGTATATATATACTATAATTTAACTAATATGAAATAATATTTTTAATAGTAATATCAGAAACAATTCGATTTTTTTTTTTTTATAACAAAGGGTAAAGGTAATTAATGTTAACACTCTCCACATTTACCCTAAATCAAACTAACAATTCATAGATATTAATTAATACATTTATTATTATTTTTTGTAAGGTAATTAATACATTTATTAAGTTTAATTAATTAATGTTAAAACATTACTAATTTAATCCTAAATAAGGATTACCTGGCGAAGATTTCAACTCAAAACCACGTTTATCATGTGATTCACCAATTCTTTAATTGTTACAACTCATTGGATACGTACAGGGAAATTAATAAACAAAAACATCTAAATAATTTGACAGATTGATGGGAACACATAGAACGCACAGTTTTGGACTCTCTAGATGAAATTGAAAACATATCCTATAATTATTATATTATTAAATAAATAAACCTTAGCTTTCTAATTTTGGATAAAACTAATTAATTAAATTCAGGTTAATTACTTTATTATTAGGTCTTAATCTTCTCCTTTCTTCTCGGCACGATAACCATTATGAAATGAATAAAATTATAATTGTTGGCTATATATATATATATCTAAATCTACATCGGCCTAAGAAGACAGTTGCATTACTAAATTTAAACCTTAATTTTACTATTCATTGTTATAATTAAATATGAATTTATGCATAATTTTGTCGTTAGTGATCTATTGGCATTAATTAATTGTAGCTTAAGATCTTCATAATCCTTTAATTAATCATTCTACTTTTTCTAGTGAAAACAACAGCTAATTAAAGTATTTAGAAGTTGGGTTGGTCCTTCT